GCTATGCTACCTGAAATATTAACGCACAATCAACTTGTACAATTATTACTTTAATTCATAAACAGTTACATTGTGTGTGGAAATACTCAACTTGTGGCTATGCTACCTGAAATATTAACGCACAATCAACTTGTACAATTATTACTTTAATTCATAAACAGTTACATTGTGTGTGGAAATACTCAACTTGTGGCTATGCTACCTGAAATATTAACGCACAATCAACTTGTACAATTATTACTTTAATTCATAAACAGTTACATTGTGTGTGGAAATACTCAACTTGTGGCTATGCTACCTGAAATATTAACGCACAATCAACTTGTACAATTATTACTTTAATTCATAAACAGTTACATTGTGTGTGGAAATACTCAACTTGTGGCTATGCTACCTGAAATATTAACGCACAATCAACTTGTACAATTATTACTTTAATTCATAAACAGTTACATTGTGTGTGGAAATACTCAACTTGTGGCTATGCTACCTGAAATATTAACGCACAATCAACTTGTACAATTATTACTTTAATTCATAAACAGTTACATTGTGTGTGGAAATACTCAACTTGTGGCCATGCTACCTGAAATATTAACGCACAATCAACTTGTACAATTATTACTTTAATTCATAAACAGTTACATTTGAATACTGATCAGCAACAAATACACAATCTTTTTTAAACGAAGAACAAGTTATCCAGTTTATTTTACTGTCATGAAGTATCTTATGATACAACTCATATTTAACATTTTTTCCTGTCTGAATTTCTTTCCAAATATTAATCTTGCCATCATTTCCACCAGACACCAGACATCGTTCAGTGCTGCCAAAATTGAAATAATACACTTGACTCACTTCTGAATCATGACATTTTAACCTCTCAGTGCATGTGGATAACTTTCCTTGAAATTGAAACAATCCGATCTCTCCATTACCTAGTATATAGAAAGGGAAAACTGAGTAAACTATATTATATAATTTATGTAATTGATATAACAAACATAGGGCTTTCAAAATAAGCCGGCAGCTGCCGGAACTCCCGGGGGTGTTACGAAGTTCACCGCCGGCTTCCGCCGGCTAATTTATTTAAAACATTACTCTATACGCACTGCTAAATCTGCATTTTTCATCAAATTTCTGACGTTTAACCATTGGCAAGAGAGAACAAACTTATAGAAGTGATTTTTGGCATTCATTATCTAAAAACTAAAAACCGAAAACAGGCTACAATGTCAAATACAATAAGATGAAGATGAGACTTTTGTTGGAAATGTTTTTGCTTTTTCCTAACCCATATTCATCAAAGTCCTGACATTAGTGATTGACCGATTGTGCAACAATCGGAAATTACCGATTATTCATGCCACAAACCTACCCGATACCTATGCCGTTAAACGATTTTATAATGACGTCATAATATCAGAATGTTAGGGTTTGTAATCCAAGTGAGTGTATATACATTTTAAGACCTGACCAGGAACGCCAGCTGTTGAGCTGTAACCGTAAGTTCATGTATATATAGGTTACAGCTCAACAGCTGGCCTCTGTAGCTCAGTTGGTTAGAGCGCTGCACCGGAATCGCAGGGCCGTAGGTTTAATTCCTACCAGAGGACCTTGTGCTGCATTTTTCGCAGTCGTTCCTGGTCAGGTCTAAAATGTATACATACTCACTTGGATTACAAACCCTAACATTCTAATATTAATTACACCAAGTGAAGTGCAAGAAACAACGTCATAATATCAGTCGACCGAGTAAAGGTGACATCATTCATGACAAATCATGTCGTTTTTTAACGATAATTTCCAACGTAACATGTTACTGCAACCAAAGATCGTTAAAACCGTTAATAAATGGCATGTTTCACATAGTTAACATAATGCGTTAAAACGCAACATGTATCAACGTGAAATGCATATAACTTTTCATGTGCGTATTTTCTCAACAATCGGTTTTAGACCATCGGAAATATAGATAATTCTACCGATTTCGATTGTCTACCGATAAGGCAAAAATTGGCCCGATGCCGATTATCGGTCAATCACTACCTGACATTTTAGCATTTTTTAAAGACACATTTTATCCATTCTTATACTGCAGTAAACAAGCATAGCTGACTACTAATTTGAACCACACTTGAAAAGTTGTCAAAACTTATCCTATATTTGTTAAATTAATCGTTCAGCCACCTACTTTCTCACCACAGATGCTTTATACTTAATAATTTTGAAAGTCTTGAAAATCATGGTTCTGATTTAACCTGAGCAACAATCACAGTAACCACAAACTAATTAAAGCTACTGGTTATAACTGAGTGAATACCGGCTAGATGGACATGCTGTATATAACATACTTGCACCATAATATAATTATTTATACCATATGCCACTCACCGCTTTGCTATTTTATGCTGATCCCAGTCAAACCTGTGTTCAAACAAGGATGATAGTTGAGAAAACTCTCAAGCAAACTCTTGCTTGTGAACTCTCATTCTTGTTTGACTCTGGCTTAATACCACAGGATTTTACTTGTCAAGGCGATCGAAATGTTAGGTGCTGATGAGTTAAACTTAATTTATTCAAAAATAATGTTTTTAGACTTGAATTTTATACCTAATCCTGTTGCAAATGTCTTGCCATCTTTAGCAACCGAAAGTGAATGAACAAATGGAGGATTTATAAATGATGTTTGGTTGCCTTCTGTCTGTTTCAATATATGATCATTCATATTAAATATTTGCTGTGGCTTCCCGCTTGAAAAATCCCAATTAATAATATTACAGTCAAGTCCTGCACTCAGAAGTTGCCAAGATTTTTTATGCCTGAACTGTACAGAGGAACATATGTTATCATGACGCCTGCCTAATGTCTTAAACAAGCGTGATTCCTGAATATCAATGACTTTTATTTCACCCAGGTCATCACAAGCGGCCAAATATCGCCCTGTGCTGTTTACACATAGTTGGTTAATTTCGTCTTCATTTAAATCAAATTTAGTAAGATATGCTGAACATTTTCTCATATCATATACCAGAACTTGCATTCCTGATGAAATATAGAACTTGTTGCCGTCTGATGGATTGAAGGTGACAGAATTTAGAGGATATTCATCTGAGGTCAAACCATGTTCATTGTTGACATTTATATCATGGAGAATCTGGCCGTCTGTTGACCACAATATACAATGACCGTCCTCAGCAACACTTGATAATATTCCATCGGTATTAATATCCAGAGCAAGAATATTTTCTTTATGGCCAACTCTAGTTGTTCTCACAAAGTTCATTTTTCGAAACTGAAATTTTTTTTTCTTTCTGAATGCGCTAGATCGTAAACATCGCAAAACCGCTGTCAAAAGCGAGCCGACGTTTGCCGCCATTTTGAAAAGAAACATTAACACAAATTTTTGAATTTTGACATTTACTCATTTAGTGGTGCAATTTTTGAAGTTATTTCGTAATCGTGTTGTGAAGTTATTGCTTAACCGTAATCATGAATCCTATGACGTATGTATCATTTGTATTATTATTATTAGATATAAAATTAAATTAATATTAATAAGACTAATAACAAGGCAGGGTGCGATAATTCAATATTTTTAGCCGTACCTGACTGGTACTCCGACAATTTTTGCGGCGTACCTGATCTGGTACAGACTTGACAGTCAAGACGAGTCAGGCGTTTTTATACCTATATGTATAGTTTACTGGTCCAAAAGCAAAAAATGTATGTGCAATTTTGTACGAATGAATCTTTAATTATGGTATTTGTATAACATAAGCCTCGACGTTGTGACTCGAATGCCGTCGCTCATTTACAGTGGATTTACCGATGGTGCTAACAGTCTGACCTCAGCTACATACAGTGTAGTTTTCCTCATTGGGCCTAAAAAAACGTCGCACAGTCAATCGTGTTGAAAAAAATAATAGGGTGGGCAGAAAAACATAGGGTCGGTCGGGAAACCGCAGGTATTTTTTTTAGACCTTGGTAATAGCATTGACAATTACTTGTAACTTGTAAACACGCGATGATTGGTAAAAATTATGTAAGTTGGTGTCCACACTACAACGAAAACGATAAAATTATCGGCGTTTGACGATAACGGTCTTAAAATCGCTCACACGAGCGTTTGTTTTTTTAGTCGGACAATGACGATAAATTTTTTGATGAAGCGCAAAGATAACCTTTTGGCTTTTTTCATCCCAAAATATGTCGGATTAGTGGAATTTACATGTACAGCTAAAGTTCAGTTTACAGTTTTGAATACTTTGGCAGGTCTGCTAGTTATTGCTAGAAGGAAAATGTAAGTACGCGAATAGCAAATTTCCGCGTACCTACCTGGTACTTGCTTAAAAACAAAGAAGTACCAGACCATAAATTTGGCGTACCTCTGGTACGTTGGTACGCAAATTATCGCACCCTGCAAGGTATCTTTTTGACGAACTTTTTCAAGGTATTTTCATATGCACAATCTTCATGCGCATTCTACAAATTTTCTACACTGGTCATTAGGCTATGTGCAGCTATCAACGTGGGGTCGGGCATATGTGGGGCATTTGATTTTTTGAGCAAATTTTCAATCAAATGCCCCACTGTCGAGCAATAAATGTAGGTCAAATACCCCCACCATTTTGCAATAAATTGCAATAAATACTATATTAATAAAAGTCATTTAGTTCAAATTGCCCCAAATCAGGGCCTAAAATGCTAATCAAAATCCCCAGGGTGGGGATGCAATTGATGATCAAATACTCCACATATGCCTGATCCCCCCCCCCTCCCCCTGAGGCTTAACATTGATAGGTGCATAAGCGCTGGCCGGGAGGAGGTGTGAGGGTGAAAGAAAGAGAGGCTTAGAGAGTGAAAAAAATGGAGGGACAAAAATAAATAGCGCCTGCAGGAAAACCATTTATTACTGTACATAGCAAGTGTCAAAGTTCAATTTTCCAGCTTACCGATTGGACAAAACCGTATCTTGTGCCTATCCACAAAACGTCATGTTCACTGCATACTTTGGTGAGGGGGCAGCCGATCAACAATGAAACAATTATTGACTGGTCAATAATAAAACCGGAAGTGAGGCACAAGCTGCTTGCGTCTGCCGGTCGGTTTGCAAGTCGTAATAAAATAATAAAACACTTATTTACTGATAATCTCAGGGCCACAAAACATGCTGTTTCCCTCTGTCTCAGGAAGTAAGTGATAATTTTTTTGCATATCTGCCCAAAATGTGCCCACAAAAAACCAACCAATGATTAGATGCATTTGAAGGATTTTCCCAGTGACAGCAAGTGTTAAAGATGCATATATGTAGCAATTTAAAACAGAGTCAACAGACAGGTCTGCCAAGTTCAGAAGATAGGAATGCATAACACCTCATGGCTTGGATCATTACTGCCATATTTGATAACATTTGACCAAGGCTCCCCCACAAATCTTAGATGCGGTAGCTATTTCAGCTAGCTCAGATATTTCCAACATACTCATGGAAGTAATTGATTATAATCAAAGATGCTGTAAAGGCTATTGGATTATAAATGTGTAACTTTAAAGGCAATTTTCTGTATGTGTGCGGATCTACAGGACCAAAATTTAAATGTTTGACTTTCATGCCAAATGTGGGACACTTGGCAGGTTTGGCCTTTCCCCTACCTTACCTTGAACCCCTCCCCCAGGCACCACTGTGTACTAGGAGGCAGTTTAATAGATAAACCAGAGAAAACCGATGTTTTTGGAAAATCAATTCGACCAATGTTGTTCTGGCCAAACATTGTCAAAATTCTGAAAAAAGTGTTTGAAGCCCAGTATATTTAAAACAAAATAATTTCTCCCCATATTTGTGCAAAATTGCGACACATTGAAGCTAAGCAGATCACACACTTGATTAGTATTTAGTTCAACAGAAGGCAGATGTCTGTGAAAGACAGGTAGATACAAAAATCATTCTTACCAGATGATTTTTGGTTTTTACCCTGAACCACCTCACCCTAACTACTATACAGGCTAGTATATAATTTGTTTTGTAGCAATGTAAAGAATATTCAAAAGCTTAATGAAAACGTTTTACAAATGGGTGTTGAAGACGATGTATCATGGCACAAGCAGTATAAAGATAGTGCTTATGTATTCTTGGGTAAGAATTTTTAAGGGGCTGTTAACAAATACCTTCCATTTTAGCTACCAATCTACATTTGCATACATTGGTGCTAAAATGCTAATGCAGGGTGGGTGTATGTCCCAAAGCAGTGTATGCTAGTGTGCTGCAGGTGAAATTTGCAGCATCCCAATATACACTGGATACTAAAATTTGGTTTTGGATACCAAACTGTGAATGACTTGTATCCCATTTGGATATTACAAAATTTAAAATTATGATAATGCTAAATGTTTCCAGTGGTGTCCCAGTAGCTTTGAATACTTGAAAATAATCAGCCTTCTTAACTTGGTATCTTGTTGTTCACTGTTGAGTTGGTATTGTAATTTATAACAATGAGAGACATGTACAGTATACTTGTTTTCATTGTTTAGCAACACCAAAAATTATGGTAACCAGTATCCAGAAGTGGATACTAGAACTTAAATTTCACACCCTGCTCTAGGGAATCTGACCATGAGTTTGAATGAGAACCAAATGGAGAATGGGGTGGGTACTTTGAGATAGTCATGGCATCCACACCACAATGAAACACTAATAATGTATCCGGGGCATTCATTGATGTGATTTAATGGAGCATCTATTGTAGATATGTGCATTTATTAAAAAGTGAGCACTTGTGTTACTCTGTTATACAGTACATGTTGCTTTGTAAATATTGTAAGGGCTGTATGTTAGGTAATTTTTATGATTAATTTAATGTTCCCCTAGCTACTGTATATGATTTTATAGGTTTCTACAGGATGGCATTCCATGCAGCTCAATTTTGTTTTGAACTATTTTAAATTTTATTTTGGTTTAGGAGGATTGCCTTATGATTTAACAGAAGGAGATATCTTGTGTGTATTTTCCCAGTAAGTGTTTGCTGAATAATTCTATTTTGTGTAACACTGGTCATAGTTATTAGTGGGTTAGTCACTCTGTACAGTGTGTCTAAAAAAAAAGTGAACCCTTTCAAATATAAAAAGTGAACCCTTTCACTATAACATATTCTTATCTATTGTAAAGTACTCGTTAATTCAGTTGTTTCTGTAACTGCAAGAGAGTCCTAATAAACTATTACTACTATAAATAGTAATTTGAGTTAGCTAAGAACACAGGAATAAGTATTTCTTTTAAATTTTCTAAGTACATGACCTTGTGTTCTTACCCAATCATAAATTCAAAGCAATTAGAGCTGTCAAATTACTACAATACTTATAGCTAAAAATTTGAAAGGGTTCACACACACTGTATACCAGAGTTTAGAAGTGGAGGATGTCCCAGCGGACAATTTTTAGCAACACCGACTACAACAGTCTGCATGGTTAAAGAATTAAAAGGTTAAGACAAAGGGTTTCATAAATTAGATGCATGGTTTAACTCAAGCCTCATTAGGCTTGACAGTAAATAGACTCCAGCATTATTTTACAGTAGACTATTAAATTCGAACTGGGGGATATAAATTTCTCAGTACTGTAAAACAATGAAGTCTGTTGTTAGACCAATTTTAATAAAGAATCTGGACTAAATTTAAATTAGGGTACACAGCAACACTCGTATAAAATACCCTTATTTTTCACCCTGCTCGGTTTCCTTTGTTCTTGTCGGGGAATATATTCAATATTCTCCTCTAATCAATTTCCGTTCAATAATCCCCTCTAATATTCACCTGCAATTAATAATCCCCTCTAATATTCACCTGCAATGTCTTTGCAGCACAAAAAATGAGAAAAAACATCGCAAAAGCAATATGGCATTGAGAATTATTTCTTTTCTGACTCATTAACGCGACCTCGCAGTGTGAAAAATAAGTACGTTATTTTGAGGCACCTCGGGGATATGTGTTTATTCACCTCGGCGCTGCGCGCCTCGGTGAATAAATCACATATCCCCTTGTTGCCTCAAAATAACCTATACTTACTGCTGTACAGGTATATTGTTTTGTATATCAAGGGTTTGAAATTCCGCATATAGTGCAACAATACAGGTTTACAAAAGTATTCTAGAACGCAATTTTGCACTTCCCTTCACGTGCTCGAACAATAAAAAATTAAGTCATGAAGGCAGTAAAATATGAAATCGAGATTCGTGTGTATTCTTTTGAGAAATTGGTGGCTCTTAAAAGAGCCGTTTGTTTGTATTTGTCTTTCACACTTATGCTCGTTCACCACGGATTCGTCGTGCCAGCTGAATGTCTTTGGGCATGATGGTCACTCGCTTGGCGTGGATAGCACACAAGTTCGTGTCTTCAAACAGACCAACAAGGTAAGCTTCGCTTGCTTCTTGTAGCGCCATCACAGCAGAGCTTTGGAAACGAAGATCGGTCTTGAAATCTTGTGCGATCTCACGAACCAAACGTTGGAAAGGCAGCTTGCGGATCAGAAGCTCGGTGGATTTCTGATAACGACGAATTTCTCGAAGAGCGACAGTTCCTGGCCTGTATCTGTGAGGTTTCTTCACACCACCAGTAGCTGGGGCACTCTTACGAGCAGCTTTTGTTGCCAAGGTCTTTCTTGGTGCTTTTCCACCAGTTGATTTACGAGCGGTTTGCTTTGTACGAGCCATTTCTTCTTGAGTTTGAGTTTTTCCTTCAGCGAGCGAGTACAATCGTAACGATCTATGATAAGTTTATGTTTGAAATTAGCGCTGCCTGATATATACCCTGGCAAGCTTTAACCTTATTGGCTCATAAAATACAATCAAAGTTAGACTTCATTGGTTCTATATACACTATTCTCATTGGCTTTGTAATGCGAGTTTGTGATTGGTTAATGAACTAAAAATTTTGATCCTGTTGGCATTGGAAGGTCAGGCATAGGCTATAGTATATACTCTAACTATGGGCTTAGCGATACTAGAGTTTGTTTCTTAGGGATGTAACGTTATACTTTGGTTGAATCTGAGCAAGGGTTATTTGTGATAGGGACTTGGACTGCTGTGGCGCTCACATTGTAATATGACTGTATGTCAGCATCTATGTTACTGTGCTATGTATAGTATGCTAAAATTGCGTCCTGTGAACGATCTGCAATGCACCGACGGTATAATGAAGACTTGAATGGTTAGGGTATACACACTATCATTATAAAGTAGTTGTGTCTGACTCAAAAATACATGCTGCAGCGCGTGTAACCTTGAAGGGTTTCGAGCAAAGACGCTTCGCGGGAAATTTAGTATCGGCGGTTGAAAGGCTACTACAAGTTTGCAGTCACCATAACAGAGCCTTGGGATAACCTACCATTGTTAGCACAGTCGTTAGTCACTCGATAACGTCAACCAATCGGCGATTTACACAAATTTGAACCAATCGCAATGCATGAAATTTAACCAATGCTAAACCATGACCAGCAACCAATGAAATGCTCTAACAGTTGTTGTCTTCGTAGACGTCCGATTGTACATGACCTATAAATTACTGCGTTGACTGCTTCAAAATCATTCAGTAAATCGAAGCTCAGAAGACTCAAAAGGAAAGATGTCAGGTCGTGGTAAAGGAGGTAAAGGACTTGGAAAAGGAGGCGCCAAGCGTCATCGTAAAATCTTACGAGACAACATCCAGGGAATCACAAAGCCCGCCATTCGTCGTCTTGCTCGTCGTGGTGGTGTGAAACGTATCTCTGGTTTGATCTATGAAGAAACTCGCGGTGTTCTCAAAGTTTTCCTCGAGAATGTGATCCGTGATGCCGTCACCTACACTGAGCACGCCAAGAGAAAGACTGTCACTGCCATGGATGTTGTCTATGCCTTGAAACGACAAGGACGAACCCTCTACGGCTTCGGTGGTTAGGTCAATCTCGTGTCAAGACAAAGAAATAACAAAAACCGGCTCTTTTAAGAGCCACCACTTTCTCAAAAGAATATATACGATCTCGATTCATAAATACTCTGATATTGCACATTTCTATATGCTACCACTATTATTAATATCTACCTATATTGCTTTTGCAGGTTTAAATGTAAGAATCAATACATTTCCCAATGCCGATGTGTGTTATCATATAAAACTACCATGCAACGCTAGACATGCACATACTATAGACTAAGACATGTATGTAGCCGTGAGTTTGGATTGTTCCAAATGGGCTTAGGAAACCTTGCGCTTCTGCGAAGCATTGCTATCCGTGCGAAACCCTCTTCGCTGTTTGTGTATATAAATCGATACTAATAAGGAACCAACATTTCAGATAAGATACGAAATCCTGATACGAAATATGATATTGGATGAGCACGAGAGCTAAGAGCTTACGACCGCCGCGTTCTACAAATGATTTTCCCCATTTAATCTAGCTTACTTGAAATAGCATTTTTTAAAAGAACGACTCAGTTCAACGTTTATAACGCTGATATAAACGTTGTTCGACGTGGCGCGTCCTTACTTTACATATCAATTGAACATTCTATTGTGATCGTGAATGGATAAATGATTGTGATGCATGTACTCAGTCAGCACCATTTTTATTAACCTGAGCATGAAATTATTTTGCTTCCCCGCTGTGGGAATCGAACTCGCGACCTTTGCCTTTG